GTTTGCGAGAAATCTGAAATTTTCATACCAAAAAATCAAATTGAAATTAGCACACTTTGACAAATAACTTTAACCGATTAGTCCCATACTCAGCTATTGGTCCCGGAGACTATAATTATGATCTTTGGTCATTTATTGCATATTTAAACAAATGTATTCAACTCGATAGACTGATTTCTGCCGTTGTTCGTCAATAAATCATAGACCATCCCCCACCTAAAAGAAAAGCAAAATTTGAAATGGACTTACAATAATGTATCCCACAAATAAACTAGAACGTAAACAAATGCCGCACTTGACAAAACAGTTGAGTCAGCATGCAGGTTCAAATCGATCGATCGATAACGGGCGGTTAGGATTTAATATAAAATACAAGGTAAAAGAATGAGATCTTGGGGTCGGATTATTGAGTGTTTGTGCATATGTACACGTAGGGTTTTTCTTGAGCCGTCAGTCCAAATGCAAAATGAACCAGCCCTCGAATGAATACAATTCAGCGTCAATATTCAATCATACGGACGCGAGTGAAATTCAAATGTGAACTTACATCTGCGCTAAACGTCGCTCGAATACACTTATTTTTATAGTCATTTAACTGCAAACATACTTCTGACCGAATGCTTATCCCTTCAATCACTCCACCACTTCGGCCGCTTCTCCCGGTTATTCGGATCGCAGTTCAAAACAACAGAGAATGAAAACTTCGCTCCTGGCAAACATTTAACACTGCCCTGTATCATGACATTTCAACTGACGGGAGCTTTGAATTTTGCCTCAGGCGAACAGTTGAATGAAAAACTGAAGAAGTTGATTATACAACAACAGCACAAAGTCAAAGATCAAATTTTACGAAAGAAATCCCTAATGAATCATTTGGATTCGGTGCGCAAAGCTGACGACAAATCGGCGGAAATGATGCCAAACCAAGCGCTGATGGATGCTTCCGGACCGGATTATGTGTCGCCAACACCATGTGTTCCGCCAACCCTATGTGTGCCATCAACCGCACGTGCGCCCCCAACTATTTGTGATGAGATCTCAGCTGGTCGAGTGAGAAGGACAACCTCATCCGGGAGCCAGAGGAGTTCGGAACAGAATGGGCCCGTGAATGACTCGCATTGGTTGAAATCGACCACCACGGAAATGCTGGACGAAACTGATGATGGATCGTGTGTTAGCATTCTGGTGAGTTTGAGCTGTAATACTCTATAATCATTACAGAACATGATCGATCCAGCACCTGTCCTGAAAGACTGCGTTAGTTTAGACATACTTTTTATGCGCTTCCTAACAGCCTCTCAAACCACTGAGATTAGCTCAGATAGATGAATTTATGACCCAGCTACTACTGTTGTGAGATAATACTCACTTGAGAGTAGTCAGTAACTTTCGGTGATTAAAAATATAACAAGACCATCAAGGACGACGTAATATGTTTGAGAAGAATAAATACTGACTGCTCTATACATTACTCTATGTGTCGGAAAGAACTGCGAGGTCCTGTTTCTGATTAAGTTTTCATGTTCTGCATGCAAAATTAGGCAGATCCAATCTGTAATAAGCAATAAAGGACTTTCCTCGACCAGCACCGTGTCTTGGAGTTATAACACTACTACTAATGCTCCTACTACTACTGCTACTACTACTACTACTGTTACTCATAACAAAATGCAATTGTGTGTGGTGACCTTCACATTTATTATCATTCATGTACTTACATATTCTCTTTCTGACGGACATAAGAGGTTTTTGCGGTACTCTGCTAATGGTTAAAAAATTACAAGGTTACTACTAATAAATAATGTTCTGTGATTTCCTTTTATTTTATTTGAAACTTAGGACCAGATGAAAGCTTCCAGTGGGAGGAATACAGGATGTCGTTCACGAGGTTCGAACGCATAAACTCATAGCGGATGGACGGGATCGATTGACTGTATCGATCGATCACTGCTGCGAATAGTCACAGGGACATTTGCAGCTGAGGCACTGACAGCAGTGTCGGTGATCAGTAGACCTCTTCAGGGCATGGGTTTGATGTAGAGTCGCGATCTTTTAGGTCAAGCCCAGTCAAGTTAAGCGAAAGTAAGCCTTACGCATCTGAAAGGATTAACCCATTCAGTTTTTCACATACACCAGGCAATGTTGATGATCCTTGATGTGGGTTTCACACCTTGGAAGATAAATTGTTCCCCATCAGTTAAATGCACTTTAAAAAACTTAAATGTACTGCTGACGGGTCCAAAAAACAGGATGAAACGGCTGTCCAGTGTGCTCTTTGTCGGTTATCACAAACATTTCCATCGCATGTAATTGCATCCAAATAGTGGGAATGAATGATCTCCCAAGGAGTGGATCCCACACCGACGATAACCAACAATGCCTGGTGTCTGTGAAAAACCGAATGGGATAATCGAAACATTCACTGTCTGGAAAGAAAGAAAAAATAACACAAAAAAAAATTTGGGGAGAAAACAAAACGATAGAACACTGTGAGCAAGAAGACACGAATGAAAGTTTGAAAAAACTAACTCAAAACATGTTCCATCAGATTTGCAATAATTACAACCCGGTTCACTAAACGCGGTCAATTTAAGGTAGGATGTTCTTTCTGTATGTGGCGGTGCGCGCAGGAAGAACCTTAGAATGGGACCGGGTACGGGGTTTGACACGGATTTAAGCAGTTCGTTGTGCAATCGATGATCTTTGTTGTACAAGATACTAGTGCAGTAATTGTAGTACGCGCCAATCAAGAAACACGAATTAGAAATCATAGAACCCACACACGGAGACTAGCATGACAGCATCCCACGTAACAGAGGCGCGAGGTAAACGCCACAAGAATAGCACTTCATTTATTGAAAGAAATTAGTGGGATTAAGCAACAAGTACAAAAGAAGTTCATTGGTTATCCAAGCCTCTGCCAATTGCGTTCTAGTATTTCTGGCGTTGTACAGCTTCTGTCTGGGCTGCACGGCTTCTGATTGGTTGGTACAATCAGACTATGGTTTGTGGTCTAGGAACTGTGACGCGTACGCGCTTTGCGGGCCTCACCCTTGAAGGTTGACTGATCACAACTGTCCGAAAAATTTAATGTGTCGCTCCGTGGTATGCGTCATCTCGTAGGCTAGGGTCACCACACAAACATATGAAGAGAATGTATTCGACATGACGATAGGATCACCTTTTTCCAAATGAAAGAGGCAGATAGATCTATTTCCACTTTTTTGGTGACTAGGATGTTCGTTGTGGTTCACTCTGTGATTATATATATATA